ACAACTAAAAAAAGACAAATTAAAAAGAATAGCTTAAAATAACAATTATATCAAGCAAAAAAATCTGAAATGAAATAATAGTGAAATAAAATATAAGTTAAAATAGAACAAAAAATAAAGAAATGAAAAAAAAATAAAAATAAAAAGTTGAGAGATTCCAAGCCACGTTAGTTCACGTTCTCAACTTTTTATTTTTATTTTCTTTTTCATTTCTTCATTTTTATTTATTGTTTGTTCTATTTTTACTTGTACTTCATTTCACTATTATTTTATTTCAGATTTTTTTGCTTAATATAATTGTTATTTTCAGCTATTCATTTTTATTCTTTTTTAGTTGTTTCCGGGATTTCAAATCAAGTCCGAACTAGTGAAATTCATCACGAAACATTGTCAATCACCTTCAAACAAACGTATATTCTATGAATGTCAGTGGATTTATGTGCCTTTCTGTATGATTCACATTGACCTTCATAGAGAAAATCGATGCCTGGATTTCCGAAGGACTTCGAAAAGATATGAAGGCTGTTGATAAAGCCGAAGATTTGTGTTGGATTTGTGGACTTTTCCAAAAGATTGTTGATATTTATTAGAAACAGGGTTAGAGAAAATGCTGAAAAATTGATTGCAAAAGCTGCGAACTCTGATGAAAATGATATGTCACAACCACAACTACCAGCTTTCAATATTATGATTTTATTTTAATATACTCAAGCTGTACCCAATTCAGCTTCAGTGATTACCCTGTTTATTTACAACCATATTCATCAAAATATTGCATGTCACACAGTTAGTCATACAGTTTTGGAGATTCATAAATAAACATTATTATTATTATCAATACAAAAAATGAATAAACGATATGATTACATAATTACACTTGACTTGAACTGATATGTATCAATCAATTTTTTGCACTGCAATCTATTTTATTTTTCAATTTATTTTCTCCCGTTCTTTTACCGTCGAGAGTAACAACCTTCACAATCCCTCCCCCTCTCGAACATTCTGCTTCGGAACATCTATTACACCAAAGCGAAATAACTGTAAAGATACTATTTCACTATTATTGTAGTTTCGCAACTGCGCTTCTTTGGAATTTGCATTAAAAATTCTAAGTAAAACTGAAATTATTTGCGTAAAATATCTGAATTTATTCATCTAGCAGCGTCTGAAAGTAGATGTAGGGCCGTTGACCCATCAGATGGCGCTGATAGACAAAGTAGCGTGGGTCTGCCAATGTCGCATATTGCTAATATCTCTTCTCCTCCGATGGGCCGGTTTCTATTAACATAACGGCATTGAAAGACTCCTGACACATTGATATTGCGCGGAATTCGAAAAAGTATGAGAGGATTCGCGCTTAGAGTTTATAAGACATATATGCCGCAACGATTCATTACACATCGGTTATGAATGTCTAACGCTACAAAACACATACTTTTTCTTCTACACGTCAAAAACGAAAACTAAACTATACAAACGTTAATTGGAGATCAAATTCTGCAATTTCTTCGTATCATTATGACGTATCATTATCGTTTGTACCCCACAAATAGTTTATTTCTCCACTATTAAACTATGGACATTTAATAGTTCCCAAAGTAAATCTATAAATCCATAAAAGGTAAAACTTAATAATAAGTGTCAACCTCAAATTAGGAATGGCTGTATCTAATTTGGCGGATTGGCTGTGTTTGTTCATCTTTCACTGCCTGAACCACTGTGCATGGTGTTTTTGGCGAGTGCATTGGTTTGGGATGTGGAGGTTGAGCAAACCGGCTATTAGATGCCTGCTTCCACGTAGCCCCGCTGGATACGGAAATGACAGAATCATTTGTGGTTCTGTTATTCCCTAACTGAATGATATCACAACGATGGCTTAATCCTAAGGTGAATGTATCCCTGCCGAGGGGATGAATTTAGATAAATTTAGATCAGGAGCGAGTCTACAGAGGAGCTGGATGTTGAGCTTACGACTCCAACTGACCTCCCTGTAAACTTAGATCAGGAGCGAGAGCTTCTTAACTCTCCAACTCCTGATCCTATAACTGAACCTAAAAAAAAGGTTTGGTGGTGCAGCCAAGAAACGACTGAGTCGTCCCCTCAAGAGCGGGGTACCTTATGAATCCGCCTTGCACCAAATTCTTGAGCGGCGTACGCAGAATCTGTCTCGAGTGGAGGAACAAACCCCCATGAGCGGGTTAGCAAACGTTTGCGCTCAAGAGGCGAAAAAGCCCTGTACGGTTGAATCTAAGGTATCGTCGTACAAAAATCCTCATATGGGAAGGTTGTCGCGGGTATCAAGGTGGGAATTTTTGCACCTTGACTAACCAACTACCTCACTGATGATTAAACAGCAGAGCATATACTTTGTGCCTGCCCCGCTAGGGACCAAATCAGGTTTTTAGAGTTCGGCAGAGCCGTACTCTCACCATCTGACCTGAAAGACCACTCACCAAACAAACTAATCGGCTTCGTTAAGAAGCTGGGTTTATTTGGTCGAGTGTGAATAGGTGTGAGCCACAATAAACCCTTGCGGGTTGCGGTGGAGGGTCGAATAGACCCACTCACTTTGAACCTAACCTAACGTAATCCAATGTTCGGCATATTGAAAGATTCCAATTCCAGATTTTCGAGTTGAAATATCTGAAATGATATCATTAGAGGGATGTTCTATTTGTTTGTTTGTGATGGATAAACTCAAAAAAATTACTCGAAGGGTCTGAAAATTCTTTCTCATATACAAACATAACGGCGATTATGATAAAATATATATACGCATGCAATGCGCATAAGCATACGCATAAAGTGATTGAATTTTATACTGAACAACTGAGTTTTCCAATATACCGCGAGAATTCGATTCCGTGGGAATTATTAAAATTGGTTACGTACGTAAATTCACAAAATATCGATTATAGCTGACCCACCAAGGTTTCGTACAGATAATACAAAAATGAATTGAAATTAATTCTTCACACTGATTTTTTTATCGACCATCCCAATCGGTTAAAAGCAACGTGAACCACTGAAGCTCAATGTTTTAGAGTTTCTTTGTAAACTATATTCGATCTAACTGCCAAAAATCAATTTATTTGGCTAAATGGGGAAGCTCTGAGTTAGTGGCTCATGTTCCCTGGTAGAACAATCTATTGGTAAAATAACTTAATCGTTTCTGGTCAGCTGCAGAGCAATCGCTAAGAATGGTAGTTAAAACAAATTTCAATGCAAGGAAATTTTGTTATTGCTCTATTAGTACATATGAAGTCTGAATTATTTTTCACTCTATCTACACGTTCGAAGCCAGAACGAATCAGGTGTAATCGATAAACTGTGAAACTAATGAACCCATTTCAATAATTCTTTCACTGTAAGGGAGCTGCATATTCAGATTTACACACGGATTCGGGATCTACGCCATTAAATTATTTATTCTATAGGTCGCCTGGACGAATTCGCAAGCAAAACTTATTGCATATAGGTTAGGTTAGGTCCAAAGTGACTGGGGCTATTCGACCCTCCACCGCAACTCGCAAGGGTTTATTGTGGCTCATTGCATATCAAGAAATTCTGTTATGACTGCAATTGGATAAATGAACCAACTCTAAGTTGAACCGTTTCGAATCCGGAGCGTGTTGCTGGTGAAATATAATGAATTTACAGAATAATTGATAGAGTACTGGGGGTTATTCATTTCAGTTCAAAAATAAAACGAATAAACACGTCCAGAGCCAAAAATAGAGTTTTCAAATGTGTTTAAATTTTTTTATTCTCGAAAAAATCTTTATTAGCCACTAGTACCTTTGAGTAGATCAGACGAAATCACCTTTGTAATCAGTTTCATCTGTTCAAGGACAATAACCTTTGGCACATTTGAGCAATAAGTCTATGAGAAATGAGAGGAATGAAAAATGATAATTCCTATCACTCATTCTGTCTCATATAATGATGATGAATCACTAAAATTTTACCGAGTTTTCCAAACAAAATTTTATTATGAAAAGGACCTTTTGCCTCTTGAATACCCAATTTGTTTGTTACTGCCTGTAGTTAATATTAATAGTATAATCGCTAACTGTTTCAACTGAACAAGAATTGTAATCATTGAAGTTTAAATTATAGGTAGGTATACTTATCTGGAAATTACGGTATGATGGGAAATATAAAAAATTATACAACAATAGGGTAACGGTAGAAAGTACACTGTAAAAAATATTTTACACCATCTAACACCAGCTGACACCGACTGGTGTCCATATAGGTCCTCATTTTTTTAGTGACAAATAACACCGACATATTTTACACTACTGAAAGGATCACAGGGCACACCAAATATGGTGTTATTCACAACACATATTTTATTTTAAATTAATATTTCTTTTATTGATTTTGTGTTCACTCAGTGTTCTTTCAAATTTTTATGGTGAATATTACAAAAAATTTCGGTGTAAAATTCAACAATTTTTGGTGTGGATAAACTACAAAAAGGTTCCATTCAACATTTTTGTAGTGCGATAAAACACAATTCTGGTGAAATGTTACAAAACAATGGTGTGAATCTACATTACATCTGGTGTGAATTTACATCAGCTGGTGATGTTTTTTTCATTTTATGGTAATATTTTCAATATTCAAGTGTTTTTTTTAAATTTAGCTTCAAAAATGTTATTCCTCACAGTGGTTTATAGCACTTTCTCAGTGTAAAAAAGCACTATTTTGGAGTGAATCAGGTCTCTCTCTTTGAATATTTTGGGTGTATATTTGCACTAGATGGTATTATATCATATTCTTCTGGTGCAAAATTCATCTTTTTTATTTCGAATTCATACCAGCACCAGTGTTTCTGTAAAAACATTTGGTGTTATTCTCAACTTAATTTAATTTACTTGTAAAATACATAAAAATGATAAATATAAAAAAAACACTGGTTGTGGTATGAATTCGAAAGAATTACTCAAGAAATTAAATTCGCCTGAAAAATAAAGAAAAACAAACATAAATCATGTATAAATTCCATTTATTATCATGAATATGTATCTGTGGGAAACATATTTTCCTCAAATAAAATAACGTTTTCATAGTTTACAAATAATAGGTATTTAGAAAACCTAACTGAACATGATTTCAAATCAAAATATCAATAATTCAAACTTAAGAATATTATTTAATAAAAACAGATTTTTTCACATATTAGTTGAAAATAAAATGTGTACTTCATTTCAAAGGGTATTGAACAGAATTTTTGGTACAATATTTCAAAGGGTATTGAACAGAATTTTTGGTACAATATTCAATTCGTCTCTTCCACTGCTTGGACTCAGATTATAAGTATATTTGTGTTGTAATTTATCTAAACAAATGATATTGGGTTTGGTATCGGTACGTTTCACAACATAACTGTAAAAGTGTTCTTTCACTGATACCACTAAAAGGGGTTTAGTTAGCAAGTAGGGCTTAGAAGAAATCAGTAAAATACTCATTATTTCTTCAAATATAGGGGTATTATCAGCAAAAGATGTACAAATAATGAAATTCACTTTATGTAAAGTTCCATTGAACTCAACCCATTTCGTTGTAGTTACAGTTGGAATTTTGAAATATGTGCCTAATAAACACGTTTTGAATTGATATTCAGACAATTTTATTGTTTTCGTGGGTCCAGTTCTGAGATAAACTTTTTTTTCTGTCCATTCATTATAAATCCATTGTTGATGTTTAGTTGACAGGGATTTACATATATTACGGTAATTTTTCATCTGGGACACAGCATTCTTGAAAAAATTATGTTTTGCTTCGTATCTCATACTCCACATATGAACAAGTGGCCCCATAAGTCTAATTATCCTAGAATAATGCACCATAAAATGATGTTTTGGTAACAAGTTAACACCAAATTCGGCTTGAAAAAGTTTATGATGTTTTTCAATCAATATATCTAGTTCAAAAATTTTAGACTCAGGAATGATAGGTGAAAATATAATTTGGGATATGTTAATTAACATTAATAAAACTCTCCATTTACTTTTTGAAACAGGTGACATACAATCATTAAAAATGAGAGGCAGGAACCTCAATAAACACCAAGATTGAGCTGCCCTTTGTCCAATAAGGTTATTATGTTTATTAAGAACAATAGGACTTGGAAAATTACTTCTTTCAAGATATCCATAATCATATATCAAAATTCTCCTGTTAATATTTTCTAAAGAAATTATTTTTGTTTGAATAAGAAAAGTAATCAGGAGTTTAATTTCATACTGAGCAACACCTTCCAAAATGTCATGCATTATATCACATGACATTGTATCAAAAACTTTAAATTCATTCAAATCATTTAGAATGCACCATTTTTTAATACCATATACAGAATGAATGGCAGGGTCCCGATTGTTGTTTATCTCATGTAAATGTTTTAGATATAGCCGATTACTTCTAAAAATTGTAGCATTATCATTAAAGACTTGTTGAATACCCTCTTTTTCAATTAAACAAATCCGACAAAAATATTTGGCGGAAAACGATTCAACCATCCCATACAGTATATTTCCACCTAAATTATCGAAACAGAAATTAACCAAAGTGCCTCTTATTGGTGTACTTGAAAAACTATTTTCAATTCCCTGGGTTTCCAATATTTTTGTATCTCTTACAATATAATCTAAAATCTTCTCAAATCCTAATATTTTGACATCTGCTGAATGAAATAAACATAGTAGAAACATATTGCACAATTTAGAATTCAGATTAGGACTGAGATTTAAGAGAGAAAAATATATTGCTCCCAATTTATGGCCACCAGTTTTACTCCCTAAGGGATTAACTGTTTCGAATTCATCCCAATACATTTGAAGTAGTAAACAATTTTCATTTTTTTGGAAAAATGATTTATTTTTGTAGTATGTTCCCGAATGTATACTTGTATAAACCGAAGGTAGACTTATTATTTTATTAGATATATGCTCTTGAAACATTTCATTCTCCAACAGAAATGTCAGCATCTTCAATAAAGGAATGTATGAAAATTTACATTCTACAATTCCTTCTCTATAGCTGTTTGTGTTTTTGTCAAAAAATTTATCTGTTCTGGTGCCAATCACAATTTCTTCTGGTTCTACTGATTTCAAAGCAATAGTTTTATGAAGTTTATATATAGTATCAATATTTTTAAATTTTTCAATGACAGATTGCTTTAAACTGTTTGAATTGTTATGATCACAACCAGAAGTATTGTCTGAACAGTAGTCCAATGTATTCATAATTAGTTCTCCAGTGATGTCTAATATAGTTTGAGTGTTTGACATAGTCAGTCCTAAAGATAATAATTTGGAAGAAAAAGATGAAATGATAAAATCTAGATCAATCTTGTGCCGATTTTCGTTTCCTGAGAGAATTTCAATATTGGCAAGTTCCTTATTGCAGCTGTTTACAGCAACTGTAATTTCTTGCTTTTCTACAGGTATTTGCTTATTATTTTCATTTTCTGATTGAGAAATTGAGTGAGAGCATCTTGAAATATGTCTTCGAAAACCACTAACAGTAAAAAACTTCGAAAAACAGTTTTGATGGCAGCATTCTATTGCCAATGCAGGACCATCTACCAAGCAGTGGAAGTTACGAAGATGTTTAATAAAAATGCTTAGATCCCTAAATATTTTGCAACATATTTTACAACTAAACACAGCCATTTTCTGACTAAAAAAAATATTATTTTCTTAAGAAAAACTAACTTAAAATTATCATGTAAAAAAATAATTCGTTTTTACAAATATCCTCATACATGTATGAACGTTTCTCAAACTACAGTTACTTTGTTTGAAACTGAGATATAAGAAGTTGATGGTCATTGTCCTTTAGAAGACATTTTAGCTTCAGCATAGCTGAGTTGAATAAAACATTTTCAGTGTCCATGTTATAAAAGTAAACTTGAATAAATTTATATAAATTTTCCAAACTTGAGTCGTATTTCACTTGGAAAACAAAATGTACCTTCATCAAATAGTCAACAGAATCTTCGAATGTTGTGAACACATCTGGTAAAAGTTTCCCATCCAATACAATTAGAAATTCTTCTAGTAAAAGTTTTGAATTGCCCTTTGCAATAATGTAAGGTTGAGTGTTTGAGGTTTTCTCAATTGTTTCCATTAACGGCAAGGAGATCTGAAATAAAATAAGTTCTATTTGAGAAAAATACAGTTGTATAAATGGTTTTTGTTATAATTGTATCACCTTGAAGTGGCTTGATCAATTTCAATAATGTTATTTTGATTCTCAACATTAAGTATATTCAAAATAAATGAGATGGTGGGTGCTATTATCAACATATATCAAGTAAAATTATTTTTACAGGGAATTATTTTTATCGCTGATCCATCACAAAACTATCTACTCTCTCTGTACTATGGATTGGTTAGAAAATAAAAATAAATTAATTTACCTGATGAAATATTAATACTTTTTCAAAGGCCTTCGTGGTTGGTGCAATATCCTTTTTTCGCTTGCCCTTGGGTGATGGTGGGAGCATTTTCAAGAGGGCAAAAAACGACTGTATAGTACGATTGAAACCGCATTCTTTCAGTTGATTACGACTGCTAGAGGTATTCTCAAATATTTCCAGAATTTTTTCTATAGCATCTAAATAGTTTTCCTTAAAACTTGCAATGTACGAGGGGAACATTAGCAGAAATTCTTGTTCAATCTGAAAATTGAAATATGAATTACTTGAATATGTATTCTAAACATAAATTTTGCAAAAAAAAAAACAATTTTTTGTTAATTGAATTTGATTTGGGAATGAGCAAGAAAGTTCTGGATGGAAGTACCTATAAACTAATCTAAACTTGATTGTGCTTATACATTGTTTGTTAAAACCAAAAGTATACTTACCAAACCAACTGTTTCATGAAATTTTGGAAATATTTCCATTGCAGAACCTTTATTTATTAAACTTCTACGGTATTTAAATGTTTCGAAAAATACACTTTTTATTTTGTTCGTCTCCGAGGATGGAATTGCTTTCAGAATATCTAATTTTTCTTGGAGTTCTTCAGTAAGATTCATTTCCTCTGAAGTTATCGAAACATTCTGGTCATGAAGGTGTTTGACAGGAGGATTGTTTCTCTCTATTTTATTTATTCTATTTAGAGTTCTCAGCCGATTTGCAAGATACCCTCCATTGGTGCTAGGGTTGAAAAAAATTTCCTAAAATATTACATTTTCATTTTATATCTAGACACAAAAGTCATCAATTATGAACTCACCTAACCCCCTGTAGAACTTTCCAAATTTTTGTACATTGGGAAAATTTCAACTAATTTTTTTGCGCACTCCATTTTTGCGCTCTTGGGTACTGCATTCCCATATTTTTCATAAAGCACATTTGCAACTATGTTTACTAACTGTATTCTGCTTCTGTCAGTCAACATTTTATTCTTCTGGTACTGGTCTATTATGTACTGCCCACCACCACGAATAATTTGTGTCTGTAGATCCTACAAAATAATAATTATAACAATGATGTGAACACTGAGTCATGGCAAGGAAAGCCTAATTATACTAAGAAAGTACTTACATCTACATCTGATATATTTTCCATTCTGGAGCTAATTGATAACGTAGATGTAGAGCTATTAGTTCCATCAAATATATCATTATCACATATTGCCTTTATAGTGGAATCTACAAAACCAAGACATCAGTATTTGTAATTCATTTTTTGATTTAAAAAGTCACAGTAAATTTTTGAAAACATCAAATTCAAACGAAATACCTAAATTATATTTTGTGGGAAAATATATTGGAACAAAATTGTATTATTCACCTGACAATATGTCCAAAGGAGCTAAGGTCTCGGAAATCGGATCAGAATCTAAAAATATTCTCAAATAAGGTTCTTCTTTAGATTTGCAGTAAAATTCCAATACATCGTCATCAATTTCAGTGAAGTCTTTATCTTTTATTAAAATTTTTATTTCACTTTGAATACCCATCTTTTTTTTTACTGAAACAAAGACAAAAACTTGCAGAAAACTGCCATAATATAAAAATAAAATATAGTTGGTGTACTCTAGTAAATGATAGTGTATTTTCTGAATCGGCATTTTGCTTTCCTACACCAGGGGGTGTTAAACCACGCCTAGGAGTGTTGGTTGACACTGAATCGGATTTTATGCAAGTACAAACTGGTTGTTAGTCAAACATTTTTCATTTTAGGCAAAATATTAACGGAATATTAACGGAAAAATGTGAAATTAGGCACATGTTCTTTGAAATCACCTACAAAACCTAGAAGTTGACTTGAGTACAGCTTTGAAATCAATATTATACCAACCATAATTCGCTGAGAGAGTAGACTTAAGCATGTAAAATAAAATTAAGAAACACTTACTTGCAGATTTGATTTCTTCTGGAGCCAAATCGCTAGCTATCCACTTTTCAACCCCCCTAAAATTAATTTTAATGCACTTCATTGTTCGAATTTCCACCAGAGGAACAATTATTGCCACAGAAACTGAATACCTAATGCAATGCACCACTGCGATGTAAAACACGATTACTGAATGTGTTGTAGGATAAATTTTATAGGAATTGATAGCGTTTTCTATATACACTACTGAAATGTCTTCCAGAAGTTTTAAGTTTCAAGATGTCTGATAGCCAATATACAACTTCACTATACACAATAACGCCAACCAAGCACAGACAATATTTGGTTCGCAATAGCGAATTTTTTACAAACAGACGTCCGAGTTAGTATTTAGTGTAACTCTGTCAAGTTCACGGCTGTCTGACTGATTTGATACGATCCTAACAGTGGCGCTATTACAGTGTTGCCAGTAAAATAGGAAAATAATAAGACCTCAGTCAAACAAAGTTTGTGTGTTTGTTCACTTTGTATTCCAGCCTAAGAAAAATTAATTGAATGATCATTTCTTCTGTCAAATAGTAATTCCACAGAAATCCTAAAGGTTTCAACTTCAGGAAACATTTTTCTCAAAGGAAACATGTGAACTGTTCGATAGATAGCACTTGGTAATTTTATAACCTGAGCCAAAACTTTTTCCTGGTGTCCATGATGATGATGATGTCCATGATGAAACCTGTGATGGATCGAAACACCTCTGTCTGATATTGAATTATGGATGGAATGCTTCGTTGCTTATTAATTTTATAAATCTATGGTTGACTGGAAGATCAAAAAATTGTTCTATGAACAATTTATATAATAAGGGTTCACACATTTTGTATTTGTTTTATAGCCATCAATTCAAGAAAAACATAATTTTTTCAATACCGAAAAGGTTGTGCCGGTGGGATCCTTTCCACGAAGCTCCGACCCATTCGGAGGGCGCGCTGACGCTGGCAAAAGACCACTTCGCACAGCTTGGGGTAGGTGATCACTGGATCCGAAAATCATGTGCCCTCAGCCAAGAATGACAGCCTTCTGTATTTGTCCAGCCAAGATTTATTCCGTATTGCGGCAAGCAGATATGATCTCAAGATTTAAGATTAGGGAGGGCATCGTTCCACCAAGAAGACTCCAATAATCAGAACAATTATTTTAACAGAGTGATCTGGGTAGAGTCTGTGAAGTTCGAAGAGTAAATTTTGATATTTCATCCGTTTTTCCTCCCCTTTCCGGACTATATTCGCCTTACCCGCATCTGGAAACTCCACGACTAATATCGTTTCACTTTGATGGTCGAGAAGAATTACATCAGGTTTATTTGCTTGTGTCAGCCTGATGGGGGTAAAGATGGATAGTTCCAATAAATTCGGCACTTCTCATTTCCCAAAACGAATTCAATATACCCTGGAGCACTCGACCTGAAGCAAAGGTCAGGTGCTTCGGTTAGCCGAAGTCTTCAATTTTGTTAAAGAAGACACCATGCATTGGCCTGTGTAGCTCTGTGGCCTCAACTCCATAGAGCTATTTGAAAAATATTGGCCAAATAAGGTATGGCACCGCTGTCAGTCAATAAATAATAAACCAAATGAGTTAATTGAAGTACCACTCTGTGCCACTAGTAGGTACCTAATGGATGAAATGCACACACTTTTTGCACCATATTCCAAGAGATATTAATTACTCTCCTATCATGAACTATCTTGTTAACTGCCCACTAATTAATTTGATTAGATTTTTTTTCCAAATTAAATGTAACAAATATATAAAGTCCCCATAAAAATAACACCTAGAAATGTTTATTTCTGCAAAAATATGGTGTTTCTTACAAATTAACATTTTAGTGATCAAGATTATGTCACATTCGCGTATGATATTCACTCCTAATTATCATAATATAATAAAATTAGTGTAACTCAATAACTTTGGTGTACTTTTTGATACCAGGTTTAAGGTAACACTAAAATATGTGAAAGTTTGTGAATGTTTCTTTCACAAACTGTACAAAACACCGCTATTGGATTAATCATTACATAATGGAACACAAGTTACACCATATTATTATCATCTTGATAAATATGGCAGATCTATAATATTTTGGTGTTATATTCAATCGGAGTGAATTGTGAAAACTCGTTTATTAAAATTACACTCAAATATTTTTTACTGTGTAAGGAATTCGTATATTTATTCAGAGTTTCCATATCGAACACAGTAACTGAATATTTGAAACTAGAAATTAGATTTGTCAGTAGCTCTGTCGAATCTCAAATTTATGTCACAAACTTATTATTGATATATTTTGTCAAGTATATTGAATTTCTACCAACTATGGAAATATGTAAGCGGTGTTGATATCGTTAATAAAATCAGATCGGAAAAACCGACTGTATTTTTCGCGGATATGCTGTTTTTTCATAATCCAATACTTGCTATACCTCTATACAAATATATGAAGATAGCTACAAAAGTTGATCTAATCTCCTGATGATTGTAACCTCTTGTTATCGAAACCCAATGTGTGGAATAAATGTTTAGAGTTAATTAATTTCACGGCAGAGGTTCTGATTCTATTTATCAAGACAGGTGAAGATGAAAATCTGAGAAGTAACCAAAGCAAATTTTAAGTGAGATTTTTTTAAACATTTATTTATTTTTCAAATCGTAGAATGTATAATATCTAGAAAAGGTCGATGAAAAATAAAATTTATTCAACTGAACTAAGGATTAAATTAACATCTTTGATATGGAAGGTTGAATCTGCACTTCTACTGTAACTTGAATTAACAATCATGAACGATCATGAATAACTATTGTGAAGATATGATATAATCTTTTCTTGAAATCTTTGAATAGGTTTCTATAGGTTTATGGAGAAATAGAAATCCAAAAAAGGTGTTTCCCAATAGCCGTTTCTTGTGAAAAATGATCAACTAATTAATGGATGAACATATGATGTTTTGTGAACAAATATTGTTATTTTGAACGTTCAATGTATATTTGCATTGTTCAGAAGAATAATATGATTCGTGAGCAAAACATATTTAGAGATAAACCAATCAGATCAATCAATTATTCTTAGAGACAACTCACACCCAACTAGTATAAATATGAGTGAACATATAGCTTCCTAGTCGACCCAACCGATACATCTACCGAAACCTGGAGCTTGGTACTTTGGTACTTAGTACGTGACTGTCCTAAGAAGTCATCTTATAGCGAATTCGGATATACCCTTACCCCGCGCTGCCTGATCTCCACTACGCACTGAGATCACCTTCGAGATGTGATTCCTGAACCCTCACACACACACCCGTCATATGTCAGAAACAAGCGACCACTATGCAAACACCACACAGAGTAGAGTCAGCAAACCAAACAAAGACAACGAGGAGTAGGAAGTACCAGAGGCTGACTCTGAAGTGGAGGTGGATGGATGTTATTTTAGGTACTGCACACATTACCAGTGTGGGGAACGTATATTTCAGGCAACTGGAGTTTCAAACCAAACCGTTATTTTTAACACTTCAACACGTGTTTCAATTACCAAGTGATCATCTCCAAGAGGAAGATTGAAGTTCCACATCACAAGATCTCCATTCCATTTAATGAACAGTCATTTAATGTCCTATTCGATATAGGCAATCATTCAGCTCAGGCGCGTATGACGCAACTTATCGGGTTTTTAACGTAAAAAAAAACAGTAGTTATCTTCCGCGCCAGTCCCAACGGACCGACCGTATAAAGAAACGGAATTATGACTTTTAGCAACAGATACACAACATGCAGATATGAATCGTGACTTTTAGCAACATATACACTACCGCATATCTTTGATCAACTCGAGTTTACTACCCCTTTTATTGGTGATGATTAAGTGTGATTGTGATCGTGCAAAGACAACTCAAGTGAGTACCCCCCCATCTAGAGCTAGCTTAAAGAGAAGATAGAAGACTTGACTTCATCCTGGTATATTTGTTAAATTTTCCAACCAAATACAGTGGAATGAAATAGTTTTCCAGAGTACTCACTTTTTATATACTTTAGATTGGCAGCACCGTACATACAACGTTTCTTCTTGCAAAGAGGTATGAAATGCAGAGCTGTTTCATGAAAGCGCCGTGGAAGTATCGCATTAGTGGTCGGGTCATTAAAATTAGTTCTAGATCATACTAGCATCGCAAGTCGTAGCGCCCATTCGTTTCTAATGTACAGAAATGAGGTGTTAAAGAATAAAGCGCGAATAGTAACACCTTCTATTGTTTTCCATTTGCCGCATACAATTTTTTTTTATTCACGGCCGATTTGCACGAACAATATTACACGCCACGATAAAGCAGGAATCTGCATACAAAATATACATTCCAAGAAAAAGAATTACGATTTACATGTACCAAAATTGTATTCAAATATTGAGTAGATGCCGAGATGAACAAAACGGTGGAAATTTGCAAACTAAACGAGAAAGTGCGGTGGTCACAACCTTATGCCTTTCGGGCCTGAGAAAGACGTAATAATTTTCAGCGGATAGATTTATTCGCGCGTGGGGAATAACAGTTGAATAGCTTTTGTTCGAGATATCGATGGATCATCTCCTCCTACATTATGGTACTTCTTCTAACTTTTCAAATAATGTATCAGTCATGTTTTTAGTAATGCATATGTCCAAAGAAAGCCTGATATTAATATATTCTTGAATATTTTTCACAAGTAACTGTGTAATTTCTCTAAAGGCTTTGCATGAACATTAGTTGATCAGTTCAAATTAAATAATTGTTGATATATTGTGATTATTATAATTGTGTCAATAACAATTATATTCTCCATTTTCTCAGACAATTAGAAAATTGTAAAATATACGTTAAAAATTTACATTATCTAACAAATCACACAAACATATATTCACATAATAATAGCGTTTCTTGTTGAATATCGATTTTATTTACATCATTAGTGTATATTAATATGCAAACAAGAAATATCACACATTTTGAATTCTGAAAATATCATTTCGTGAATAAAAACCGAATCAGCTCATACTCAAATTTCCCATGAATGAATATGCAATAAAATTTTCTGCTTCAGTATCATATATTAAATACTAATTGTTGCCCACGGCTTCGCACGCGTAGAATTTGGTTTGTCACATTAAGTTTCGTGACAGATAATTTAAAAAAAAATCTGTTTAAAATCTGCTTTGCCGTTAATCAGCTGTCGCCCCCTTACGAACGACAACTCTCAAAAGTTGAGAAACTTGTGCGAGTTAAGGACTAACGAGGTCTTACCTTTTAACGTGTAATTCCTAAAACGGTTAGGAATCACACGTTTAAACGAATAGTTACAATATTTTATTATCAACCCAAA